TGTGTGTGTGTGGACAGAGGGGGAAAAATGTGCATGTGTTTCTAAGTGAGGGGGAAGAAGTTAGCATTTCTTCAACAAAGAAGTAAACACACCCATAATTAACTCCACTTACTTTTATCTTCCCTCTCACCATTCTTACGTCCACATATGAAATGTTTGAATGTGGCACGTCAGTCAGCTTAAGCCAAAGATAGGGACTCAAGGCTAAACCGTATAATGCAAATATGTTTGAGGAATCCTACTTTCGAAATAATGGTGAAATGTTGCGTCTAAAACAGCAACAAGTTATCAGAGAGTAACAAGAATTGCACTCTGTTGAGCACACACCTCAACCAACGGTCCCCTTATGAAACCACATTTGAATTCACTAGACCGAATTGAACACACTCATTGATATCAGTGCCCTAAACTATCTTGATTTTTGTCATCGAGATCCAGTAGTTATTCTCAGAGAAATCAATAAAAAAATTTGAAAAAAGTAATTAAAAAAAAAATTGTTCTTTCCATAGCCTGTATATATCTTATATAGGCTTGCACACAAACAAACAAACAAAAACATTGGCAGAGGTAAAAATGTAACGCCAAATAAATCTCGTAACTCCCAAGACCTCTCTGTGTTTTTAGCTGCTGAAGAAAGGTGATTCAAAGACAAATAAAGTACTGATTGACCTGCTACTTGGCAAGAGTGTAAACTGATCCAGAGACTGTTCACACATGGAAAAGACATTAGGATCCACTTATACAAGCTTAGTGTGTGTGCGCCTGAGCAGTAAATGATGATGGATTGTTTAAATTAAAGCTCAGACTGATTTGACAAACAGTGTGAGCCGGACAAACAGTGTGAGCTGAACGTCATGAGAGAGAGAGAGATGCGATTATGAACGCACATTCCCCATCACTAGACAGGTTGGCCTGGATCAGGTTTGTTTGAGAATGTGTAAAGTGCCTTGGGGAACAGGATTCCTAGACTTCTGGTAAAAGCTATCTACTTTATGTGTGTGTGTGTGTGTGTGTGTGTGTGTGTGTGTGTGTGTGTGTGTGTGTGTGTGTGTGTGTGTGTTCCTTAGACTTGCCAGTAAGGCTTGTGGGAGGAGAGAGCCCGAGGGAAGGCAGGGTGGAGCTCTACCTGTCTGGTCAATGGGGAACTGTGTGTGACGATGGATGGACTGATCGTGATGCGGAGGTCGTGTGCCGACAGTTGGGCTACAGGTACTGTATGTATGCGTGTGCATTTGTGTGGGAGTGGCCTCTTTGACAGACTCGCCCTCCTGGGTAACATGAACACAAAACACAGTTGAAATGCACAAGATGAAAGATGAGTTCTTCAAAGTTGTTCAAGATGAAAGATGCATTGTAGAGCTGCAAATGTTGATTATTTACATTTTTAATTCATCAAAACCACCTCACGTCACCTCTGGGTCCTGATCTCATGAAGATGGTGCAAACAAAACAAACATGGCGAGACTGACAGAGTGCAACAACTTGCTCCATCAGAGGAATCAACACATTTATTTTACATTGCTCTAATAAGACGTAACAAGTCAAACTTTATCAAACTACACAAATTAGAAATAATGCCATCAATCACACAGGAACGAAATAAGTTGTTCAAATGTATATACTAATAATAAGACATAACAATCTTTATATAAAATTACACAAAACAGGAAATAAAACACTTTCATTGTGCTGTAATTAGAAACCACATTCTGCCATTTTTGACCTGAAATACAATATTCTTATACTTACCAAATGATACTCTAATTAGAAACCACATAGGAGATCAAAATACTCGATTAGACACCATCTACCAATTAATGCTGTAATTAGTTATCCTTATAACAGACAAATGGCTGAGACAATACATTCATGTGGCTTTAAACATAGTTCCACTTCCTTTTTCTGTTGGCCTGTAGCCATCCAACTGTATGTAGCAGATTGTTATTGACTTTTTAAATGCTAGCTAACACCCACTATGTCCAAATCAGGGGGGGACTTCCCCCCAGCTCTTCTCTTTGTCTGCAAGGTTGTGAACGGTCTTAGACGACACGTTGTAGGGGCCTATTGTTTTTGTAAAGCCTTTCCTCAACTCAGCTTTGCGCCGCACTCCCAGTGGCTTGGTTCTCAGTCGTCCTTTCATAACCTCGACTATGTACCACTGATGTAATCATCCCCATTTTAAATCCTGAATATCAAACATGTTTGATGATTATCAGTGCGATGCTTCTGCGGTCAGTTTAAGAATAGCTCTGTAACTCTTCACACTAACAGATAATGGGAGCCAAATATCGGTTCAGACAAGATTTGTCCTCCAATTCTCCGAGATTGAAATGACTTTATTTTGTCCAACCAACAGTCAAAACCTAAACTCAGTTCACTGTCATGGAAGGCTGCTGATATTCAGGTAACAGTCTGCTACACATCCTTCCTTTTCAACACGTCAGGATGTTGAAATAGTGGTGAAATGCCGGAGTTGAAAAGGCCTCTGACAGTTCAATGTGATCACTCTATACAATACATTCACTGTTAACTGGATCCAGACTTCAATCTCTATTCGCAAGATCAATCATCATTTCTCAGACTTGGCATCTGTCTTACACTCCCCCCTTTTTCTCCGTCTGTCTTTCATCCTTCCATCTTCAGAGTCTTTCTCTGTTTCCACTTTACACATCATTGCACACGTCTTGGGTTTCAGGCTTATATACAGTGGAAAATCAGCCTCGAATCTTTTAAAATAGCAATGTTTGATTAATTCATCTTGAACAATCGTCTACTTAAGTTTTTGAGGATGTCTTGGTTTGCGGCCAAATATTTTTGTATTAAGTGTTTGAGCTGTGCCTTTCCTGCAGTGCCAACTCAAACATCCAATTAAAGGGCATTGTGTTAAAGCAACATTCACAGTGACAGACATGTCGCAGTGAAAACTACCTCATCTCATTCTGTCTCTGTCCAATTATATTTCCTCCGAGACGCTGTCCCGTTTTCCATAACAATGGCCACGAGACGGCGAGGGAAAACCGTACCATAACAAACTGCTTTCATTTCCCTTCTCATCACTCCTCTGCAAGCGAAACTCATCCCTTACTCGCCCAATTTTCTGTGACACATCTGTGTGCGGATGAAAGCCACATCTGGAGAGCATAAGCGTGAGAGAGGGGAAGCGTGATGGAAGCGTGGAAAAACTGTGTTAGGGTCATCATTACCTCTCACTCAGGGTGTAGTGAAAGGTCATCACATACACAGGAGGTCTGCAAGGGTTGGAGGTTGCTTTGGTGATGAAAAAATATATATACATATATGCTCACACATGCACAGACACACCGACTTAAATTGATCTTTAGAGGTTTACTCTAACCTTAACCATAGTCACTACACCTTAACATGTCTTGACCATAGAATGTAATGATTTACCTCATAGTGATTTGCTTTTGGTTCCCACTAAACAGATTTAGGTCCCTACAGCCTGAGTAATGACCCACGTAAACAATATAAAGCTAGTGGACAAAAACAACGGTAACAAATGTGCTGAATATTGAATAACAGTACGATTGTTTCATTTAACTTAAACTTCCTTTATTTATCCCACAAGGGGAAATTCTTTTTACACTCATTTTACACTTTTTTTACACATGCAGTTCAAACCCACAAACCCCCCCCACACAAACACACAGCCTATTTCAGCATCATTGCACCATGAGTGAAGTTATGTAGAGCCTGTAATACTGGCACACTTGTGTCTCTGTGTTGCAGTAAGGCCACAGTAAGTATTTGTTTCTTAGCTCGAAAACTTCTTGGAAGTTTGTCCAACAATCTCTTGTGCCTGTCGCTCTTCATTCAACCTCGTTCACCTTTAATCCTTAAAGTTGATCCAGTAACAAAAATGTTACAGATTATTCATAGCTTAAATGAACGTGTTTGGCTTTGAAGTTGTTAGTAACCAAAGCAGACTGTGTTGCATTTCTGCTCTGATGTACAATAACTGCATTGCCACAGAACCTAACAGCCTGGAGGCGTGTGTTCATTCTAAGCACCGCACAGGGAGACACAGATACAACACAAGATGTCTCAATAAGAGACATAAGCTTCCCTGTGGATGAGTAGTGGATACGAGACCCGTCACCCACCAAACCTCGGGGACGCAACATGAGATCCTCGCTCTCAGTCATCTATCAATCTTTATTAAAATCACACTAACAACATACAGAGGCACACACTGACTTTCATTAGCTGTTTGCTAATGAAAGTCAGGGGTGAGACAGTGATATGAATACTGTTGCTATCAGATTGTACAGGGGGTTTGACCTGGTTTGCCTCACAGCCTGAGAATGTCCAAACATAACATTGACACTCATATATGATCACCGCGTGCACACACGCACACACACACACCCCCCCCGATGAAATAACAGACTGACATGATCAGTTGTACTCTGACAAGGTATGTGATTTTAAATTACATGGTAGGTATAATTACACCGTTCAATTATAACATGTAATCAAGTAAACAGATTGTTCTTTTGGTTATGAGTCATAATGTGCTGACAGAAAAAATAAATAAACTATGAACCTCATGAGTCAGCCTTTAAATTCAAAAGCTTCTAACAAACACAGACACGAGGTAACAATGTTGGCTCTAGTTTAAAATCCCTTTATATTTGTTGTTTACATCTGTTTTTAAACTATATTTTGTTGCTCTTGTGATAGTTACTATGCTGACTAACAGATAACTAATGCTTTTATTGTGAATCGCTTACAATACTGAATAACATGCTGACTTGCTTACTTTTCCTGTTTGTTTTATTTTTAGCTGCAATATGAACGAAACAGTTTTATAACATGTTTGGAAGACAGTGGTTATAACGTGTGCATCGGTCCTGTGTCCGTCTGTCCTTGTCCAGTGGAATGGCAAAGGCCCGTGTCATGGCGTACTTCGGCGAAGGGACGGGGCCCATCCACGTGGACAACGTGAAGTGCGGTGGCGAGGAGCGCTCGATAGCAGACTGCATCAAACAGGCGCCTGGCACTCACAACTGTCGCCACAGTGAGGACGCTGGGGTCATCTGTGACTATGGTGAATCACAGCCCAGCTACAAAGAGGTCAAAGGTCGGTCTTTTAGTCTGGAGCTTATCTTATGTGTTTATGTTACTCTTAAAAATGAGAAAATGGATGAGCAAACTTGTGTTTGGCAAACAGTTCCAATATGTCATATACACTGAAAAATTAATGAGAAACTAATTACAAAGGAAAAGTCAAGAGGTAACACTTTGATAGGGAAACAGGGGCGTCTATAGTGTGTGTGTGGCCAGATGGTAAAATGGTAAGAGCCATGTTATTGCTTCACCCTGTCTGTCACACATCAGGACAGACGAATACAACCCTATCTGTTACCAGCACATATGCTATTACTACTATTTCTCATGTGCACATACAGTGAAAAGGAAAACCAGTGCATACACACACACGCACAAAATGATCTGTTATATATTTAGTTTTCTCTATTCTAGGTTCACATGCAGTAGTAGAATTTATTAAGTTTTCGATCAGTCTAAATATTTAATAGAGCAGCATCTGAGTCCAAGTGTATGGTTAAGCAATCATCACCCTCCCACACACACACACTCTCATATACACACCCAATGGTTCCCCTTGTGTCTCTGTCAGATCCTGTCAACTCAATTTGCGGTCTGCGGCTCGTACACACTCGCCAGCGCCGGATCATAGGAGGAGAAAACTCTCTGAGGTACGCCAGAGGGGACAGGAGGGATTAATAACAGCACAGAGAGAAAGGCTGCCAGAGACACATGCAGTAAAGAATATTGGACACATTTCCAACTCTACAAGTTTTAGATGGAAAACATTTGACCTGAAGCTGCAAGTGAAGAAATATTCAATTTGTTTGTACATGCATGCAAATATTTCTTGGGTGTGAGTGTAGATGGAATTATTTTAGCCCATAAACTAACTCAACTAGATAAACTAAACTTTAATGTCCTCCAAAATATCTCATTGGTCATAACTGGATAAAATACGCCTGTTGAATATAGGTCTGAATAGGACCCAGTTTGCTTTTGTTGAAATGTTTAGGTTCTGTCCGTGTTTACATTTTTTGTGCATTTCTTAATTGTGTGTGCGTGTGTGTGCGTGTGTGTGCGTGCGTGTGTGTCTGTGTCGTAGGGGTGGCTGGCCATGGCAGGCTGCGATTCGTTTGAGAGGCTCTCGAGGAGATGGGAGGTTGGTGTGTGGAGCCACCCTCATCGACTCCTGCTGGGTCCTGACCTCGGCTCACTGCTTCAAGAGGTCAAACACCCCCCCCACACACACGCGCACATTTACACAAAGACATCACCTTGTTAAATTGTGTGTTTGGACTTCATTGTATTCATTGAAATGAGGTTGCGTGTATATTGTGCATACATTTGCTGGCCTGTTTATGCAGACAGACTTAAGAATTATGTTTTAACTCAACTGCACAACATCCTCATTGTCAGACTTAAAAATACAGAGGAAATCAGAGGCCGGAGAATCTCAGCAGAGCAGCAATCAGTGGTGGTTCAGTTGTCGTGCAGGTGGCAGGGAAGCAGCCAGAGTTACTTCATCCCAACTACATCTGGTCTGAGGGGCCTCCACATGGCGTCACCAACTTGAAATCCATCACATAATGCATACAGCAGAAACAATCCAGCAAAAGAGAAAATGAAAACAATGCAAAGTAAAGCACTTAGAAACGGAGGGTTTTGCACAAACCACAGAATCTGCATTTGATACTTGCATTCGAAGTTGTCAGACAAAATTTTGGGGCTCATAACTTTTGGTTGTCTTCCGAACTATTAGTTCCAGTGTTTGGGTTCGGTAGGAAAACCAGAACTCTGTGCAGGCCCCTCAGCTCCATCGCTATAAATCATGCTGTTTCCACATTAAAGAAAAATCATTCATAAAACCCCCTCCAGTACCATTTCTTTAACCATTCCCAGGCTTTCCCACTTTTACTGTTTATAAAATAACCTCTACTCTGCGAAGTGACTTCCCCATTCACTCCACATCTGAAGCACACAAACTATGCTGCTAATTAAAACCATTTGCGATTCTGCATCACGGACATTTAGGGCAGATCAATGGAAACAGTGTCATAACAGACTGAATAGAATAGTAATTATGATAATAATCATGATAATAATAGCCTCAGTCATAACAACTTGTTCTTTTGGCAAGGAATCATACGCTCATTCACTATGTTAACCCTGTATCCACAGTACAAATACCAGAGATAACATTCAGTATAATGTATGATGGTTGTATCTTTATCTTCCTTATCAAAGACAAGGATCTTGACGCAGACAAGAACGGTCACGCCAAACTAAATACTGTCAAAAAGATTATCGCCAGTGTTTCAAGATGTTCAAGATGACAGCCATAATAAGTACCATACTTTGCTGCAAGTAAACCAGAGACAAAGATAGGGACTTCCGACTCTACAGTGTCACCTTTTATATATGGTCAAAAACACACACGCACGCACACACACACTAGTTACTCAAACCCCTAAATCTAGACATACTCCATGACACCACGCACGCACACACACTCAAACAAAACCTGATCCTCCAGGCTAAATTTGTCAAGTGCATGTGCCTTCATTCTCCTGACAAATAAAGTAGCTGGAACACCTCTGTTTCTCACTCTCTCTCACACCGACACACGTGTCTCCATGACTTCAGAGGACATTACATCGACTTACATAGATTTCTTGTAGACTTGCTCTACCCTTGACCATAGTTACAACTTGCCTAACCCCAACCCTTAACCTAATCTGAAAACATGTCTCTGCCATGAGATATAATGGTTTATGCTTTGGGACAAGGGAGACAAGTCCCCTTAATGAGACTGAGTAGCCACACACACACACCCAATAACAGTTACTCAAATCCCTTCAATCTAGACATACTTCAAGACCCCCCACACAAACATTCTAAAACCTGATCGTCCAGGCTAAATTTGTCAAGTGGATGGATGTGCAGTTATTCCCCGGACAATTAAAGTACCCGGAACACCCATTACCACATAAAGAGCAGCAACAATAAAACAAAACATAAAATAAACACCTGTCTGTTCTAATGAGCATATTGTTTTATAATAACATATCAGGTTACAATTGCCAAATGAAATCTAACAGTTATAAAAACTGATCTCTTAAATTTCCATTGCTTGTTAGGTCAATAAAAGCCGACCCAAGGTCAGTGATCACATGTTGTCACATATTAAACCTATTTATACCGTGTGGTTTTACAACTGGGGCCTTTCCAGCAGTAACACAACTCCAGCAGATTTTACTGCTTTTAGCAACAATAATGTGTGAACAGTTACATTCAAGATCCGTTCTAATTGTGAGCTGATAAGTTAAGCACAGGATTATGTCTGTTCTTTCTGATTTCGTGCCAAAACACGTGCCTGTGTGTGAGTGTGGCTGGTACGTAGATGGCTGGTCAGCAGCGTCTCAGCTCTGCCAGGAACGCCGTGGCATTCCTGGGTCAGGAGATCTTTCCGGAAACACTCCACCAGTTGTAACCGGACACAAGAGAATTGGCTCGACAGCGAGGCCTCCTTCTCTCACTCCTCTCTTCTCTGTCTTTCCTTCCCCTCTCTTTTGGTCCTGTCTGTCCCTGACTTACCCTCACTCAACAGCTCCATTTACAAGAAGCCCAAACATGTCCAACCAGTAAACAGAACTCACGAAAAACACTTCATCATGTCAACCTGTGAGTCATAGAAGCACATAAACACACAGATGCAATGACAGATTTATTATAATCAATCCTGCTGATTCTCATTCTCTGTTTTCATTTGTCTAGCCCCTAGAGGCGTGAGAAGTGCAAAACAGCAGATTATGTTTTCATCTGTTTGTCTATTAGTTGGCAGGATTAGGCGAACTACTGGAAGGATTATGACTAAACTAACTATTCAAGATCTGCATAAAAATGTAATGACTCATTTCCTGATACACAAGCCAGCAACTGATACCATCCTTCCTCCAAATTTTGTGGTAATTTGCTGAGTCACTATCAGACAGACAAGCAAACATAGACAAAAGCAAAATCTAGTTGACATAGGTAATAATTTTAAGATAAAAACACAAATATTTATGAGTGTGTGCAATTTGGTGCAGATCCAAATTAAAATCTGGATCTAGTGAATTAATGTGGTTTCAAAAGGGCGTTGTTGGGCCTTGACTGAGGTATGCACTGCTCAACTAGAAAAGTGTTTCACGTGAGTCAAGAGGAGATTGATAAGATAATGCCAACTGAGTACAAAAAGACAAAGTCAGACAGTCTTTGGTAACCTTTAGTAAACTGGTGACCCCATGTAACCCATGCTAAAGGATCTCAAGGCGTTTCTCTCAAGAATAACACCATGAAGCCTGAAACATATTCTACTGCTCACAGGCATCTGGTACAGATTTTATGGTCGTGCGCTTGGTGTAACATGCTTGTGCTTGTCCAACTCTAGATGAAGTATTGCTGAGATAACCCCTGCAGGAGCTCGTAATTTTATTGTTCATGTTGCAGCAGTGGGAGCGCTCAATGCACACACGCCCTCTTTCTCCGATGGTCTCCCTCTACACATCGCTTAATTTCTCTCTGCAGATATGGAAACAGCACCAAGCAGTATAAAGTCAGACTGGGCGACTATCACTCCCTCGTCCCGGAGGAATACGAAGAGGAGTACGGTGTCGATCAAATTGTCCTCCACCCAAGCTACCACTCCCAAAGCAACGATAATGACCTAGCCTTGGTTCGTCTGTCGCCGGGTGCCGTCGGTCAGTTGCCCGGAGAATGTGTGTCATTCAGCCGTCATGTCCTTCCTGCCTGTCTGCCCATGAGGAAGGAGAGAGCGCTCAAACAAGCCAGCAACTGTCATATTACCGGCTGGGGTGATACAGGTGAGGATATGTTGTCATAACTGTCACTCCGATCGAACATGAGAACCCAAACACAGACGTTAGACACAAAGCAGTGATTTGCCAATAAAGTCTTATCGATAAGATCCAGACTAGATTAAAAAAAAGTCAAATTTAACTACTGTAAATACACAAAGCAGTGACACTAATCCAGAAAAAAGGAAAAATTAGCAAATGTCAACATACAGATAGGACCGGAAAACTCTTAGAACCAGGTCATGACGCATCCAGATACTGATAAGGGGAAAACACAGCCTCTTTTGTATAGAGAAATCACACACACGCAAATAGACATGTGAAAACAATACAAACACTTCTTTCCTTGTGACGGGAACCAAAGAAGAAATATGTGAAACTAATCCAACCGAGGCAGCACGTCACAAAGGTGGGTAAAAAAAACAACTAAATCCACCATGGTTGCACAAAGACATTTCAAAATAAAACAGAATAAATGTAGAAGTACTTGTTTAAGATTAAAATATATAACAAGACATAATTGATTTAAAACGTTTTAACAACTCAAAGTCACTGTCTAATGGTGTGAGGCATTCAGACTTTAAAATTCTCTTAAATAAAAGGCAGAAAAACAATCACATTTATAGAATTGATTTGTCTATTTATCAACTGAGTATTTAAAAAGTGTTTAACCAACCAAACAACCGACTTGCTGACTACAAGAAGTCCATCAAATTATTATTTTTTTTCTAAATAATATACATATAAAATATATAAACATTTACCTTATTTTATAAGAAATATTTTGTCATAACATATTTGTAATAT